ACTGAATTTTCAGCTGTGTCACAAGGATCCATTTGTTCTTCTGGCTTCGACATATTCGCAAATACCGTAAAACGAATTCTATAAAAATCTCTTCAGTATTTAAAATCTTGATGTTGGACTTGCGGATAACATGCCTAGATAGTAGCACATAAAGATTTGTGGAAAATACAATATACAAATTATTTAAGTATATTTGTGATTCACAGTATTTAAAAAAATAACAGAATTACTCCAGAACACTAAACTATTTTTTTTTACTTATGTTCTACGAAACAAAAGTGGATAAAAAAAAGACAATCCCGGTATCTTCTTGTCACCTCAGAATCGAAAACCGCGAAACCAAAATAGTGTTACCCGCTTGAAGAAAATAACAACACTTAAAACATAGATAAGAAGTAAAGCTAAACCATAGATAAAAGAAGAGTATACCCAATAGTTCTCAATTGTCAATCACTTACGATTGGCAGATAAATATTTTTTCGTAAAATTTGGTTGTATTGTCGCTATATCAATGAATGTTTTAAAAGATATTACATATGCCATATGAAACTTAACAAAATGTGATTCAAATAATAATAAGGATATTTTTATCTTCCCTATGCTACCAATGTAATTGAACCATGAACACAGGCCAATCACAATCACGACACAATTTTTTTTAATCCTATTTAATTTATATATTCCAGATGTCAATTACAATTCAAAATATTATTCTTGATGCCAAAAGGCTTGCAGGTAGATTGAAAACTAGAGAAGCTGCTGGAGATTCTTTGATAAAAATAACACAATCTTTGAGCAAACAAATTGACATAATAAAACAAGTTAGTAATGGTTATTTTTTGTTTGAAAACTATATATAAATTCATATAAATATTATTTTTACTGATTTGATATTTAACAAAATAAGTATATTTTATGCTAGAATAAGGCCTAAATCAAATGACGTGCCCTTACAATCATAATATATATATATATATATATATATATATATATATATATAAAATTTTGGGATTTATGCATTTTTACTTAAGCTCTTAGCTAATATTACAACAGATATATATATATATATATATATATATATATATATATATATATATATATAGTACCCAGATGAATTGGAATTACTAAATGAAGTAGCACCTCAAAGACCACACACTGCTCTAATTGCTGGTATACAGCAAGAGAATCGATATATAAGAGAAATCCAACAAGAGAATCGAGAACTACGTGCTGCATTAGAAGACCATCAACATGCTTTGGAACATATCATGACTAAATATAGACAACACACTACTTATCAAATGAGAAAAACTAAAATTGATTTTTCTTTAGTACAAAATGAAGAGCAGGAACAGGTTTGTTGTGTAATTATCATTTTATTACTATGGAAAATTCTAATAATTGAAATATTTAATAGTTGTTTTAGTTTTACATTTGAACATCTCTGCACTTTTGCTTTAATATTATATTGAGGCAAACTTTTCAACCATGCTTCTATATCCTGTCTTAAATTTTCGTTGTTTTTATTTTACATCATAGTATCTTTTAGTAACATGGTGATAATTATTGTCTTTAATTTTATTTATCATTTTTCTTGTAGTTGGAAATGAAAGTTCATGATAGATTATTTATTAAAAGAAATTGCAAAAAATGGCATAAGACAAATTAATTCAATGTTACAAAGATCTGTGAAAATCACTTGTATATTTTATAAACCAATTAAATTATAAATCTAATATAGTATTATTTATGCAGCTTATAAAACAGCAGGCTAATAAGATTCAAGAGATGGTGTATATTATGCAAAAGGCTGCTAATATTGATGAGGAAGCTTCGAATCAAGATCAAGAGCAACTTTGTCGTTTAACAACAGAAAATAAGGTATGTAAATAATTTCAACATATTCAAAAATATTTAATTACTCAAACCTTTATTATTATAGGGACTTAGAGAGTTGTTGAAGATTGCAAAAAGCTATGGATCTGATGGCGAAAATATATTATCTATTACATGCAATGAAACAGAAGATAAAAACATACAAACTGATTCCGTGAATAACTCCACTGACTAATGTTGTAAAGTATTTAAAACAATAGATAATTTATAAATAACTTATAATTGATGTAATTGTATGATTAATTATTACTAAAGTTTGTTACATTTAGCATTTATGTTTTATTGAAATAATATTGTATTTAAAAATAATAAAAATAACAGTTTTTTTTATTTACTCTTAAGGTTTGATATGTATATACAGGAGCGGTCCAATGTATAACATATTTATTAATAATTTCGACTATAGTATGTTGTACTAAAAAATTTTTATTTTTTTTGAAACAACTATTAAATATTTCAATCATTAGAATTTTACATAGTAATAAAATAATTACACAACAAACCTGTTCCTGCTCTTCATTTTGTATTAAAGAAAAATCAATATTTCAAAAATGTAAAATTTATGTATATATATATATATCTATATATATATATATATATATATATATATATATATATATTCAATAGATAAGTCCTAGATTTTTTTAATATATTGATTGTTTCTTTTCCGAACAGTAAATCCAATAATAAAAAACAATTTGTTTTTTGAAGATGTTTAATACGACGTTTCGGAACTAGGTACGTTCCGTCATCAGGTTTATTCTGTCAAATACAATGTTTTTTTAAAAATATTGATTAACATTAATTAATGATGGTCAATACAGATTAATTAGAAAAAATTTTATAAAGGAATGGATTATGTACCGGGGTAAAGAGTAATAAGAAGTAACTAAAAAAGGTAAACTTTCCGAAACGTCGTATTAAACATCTTCAAAAAACAAATTGTTTTTTATTATTGGATTTACTGTTCGGAAAAGAAACAATCAATCAATAATATATATATATATATATATATATATATATATATATAGCAATAAAGGATAGAATAAATGTTAAGAAATTTTGATTTAAAGATCAAGTTGATCAAAACATACCAGTTAATTTCTGATTCAAGTCGAGGCTGTGCTACAAACTCTAAACTTTAGTATTTGTAATTCAGCCCTTATCCAAAGCTTCAATATTATTGAGTATAATAAAAATACTAATACATGTGTGGAGTTAACATTATTTTCCAATTTGGTATTGTAGTCTTTACAAAATATGACAAATCAGTACGTCAAAATGCGGAGCATCTAAGATTTTGATAAAGGCTGTAATTTAGATTTTATATTTCTTATAGAATATTAGCAGTGAACTATTATTCTCTACAATTATAAAAAATGTGTATTATTATAATCACAAAACATATTTTTTCATAATTATTTTATTTTATTAAAAAGTAAACAACATTTACTGAAATTTTGCAGAAATCATAAATATATCACATCATACAGCTGAGGTAGTATACTGTTCAGGAAATTTAAATGAATGTTGTCCTTGTGCAAAAATACTAGGCAACAAGCCAGCATTGGGAATTAAGTTCCATGATAAAGTAAGAGTAACATTTTGGTGACCCCTTAAACAAAAGTACATTTTTATTGATGAAGTATAATATTAATTATTTTTAAATATAAATTAAATATGACTCACTTAAGTCCATTTCCATCATCCCAAAAATAATATTTAGTATTCATGTTTTTCATATCAAGAACAGCATTCTGTCCACGCTCAATAATTTTATCCCATAGTACAACCTGAACAAAAATTGTTATATAAAACTCAAAACTGTTTATTAAATATGGAAAATCACCATTTAATTTACCTGATTCAGTTCATTATTTGGTGTAATATATTCAGCTGTTAAGTATAGAAACAATTGTTTAACATTCCAGTTAAATAAGTCAGTCAAATCTGTTTTTAAATCAAATGTAAGGAAACCCAAGTCATTTTTCTCTCTAGATGCACTATAGTCGGGCACGTTTTTTCTAAAATATATTATTGTACTATTAGTAATTACATTTCAGCGTAATTGTAAATTGCATTACAATTATCCTTACACGACAACTTTTACAGTATTCATATGTGCGGGTGTACGGTAATCAATAAAAACTGTAGAAGCAAAGCAACAAAACGTAAGAAACGCTAATACACTTAATGTATATGCTAAAATAGCATTTGCTCTTGTAAGCACAGTGTGCATATTTTATTGAATTCACTACGTCTAAAACAATTTTTTTAAACTGTGTCGCTTTTGGAAAAGGACACGTCAAAGTAACAGTTCGGTGAGGTTATACAAATTAGTATTAACTGTCACAGCCAAAGCATAAATCATCTAAATAAAATTTACTGTAGAGTGTCCACTCCGTCAATGTGTCATTTTAAAATATGGTGCATACATTTGTAATTAGATGGCGCACAGAGAAATTTGAATAAATTTATAGAAAATGCCATTCATGTTATTAAGGATATGGTAATGCATTACACAATGTAATATAAACATTTGTTTGCCATATCAAAGTGTGCGATTATATTGATATAAACAAAAAATCATCAATCCATAATCATATAAAAAAATCAATCATTACGATATTAAAACATATTTTTTTTATTATTTTATTATTTAATTATTGTAAATACACTTATAACTTGTAATTAATAAAAAATAAATATATACAGTTATAATTAAAGTATTTTACAATTGGTCCTTCAAAATTCAATCAATCAAACCATTTCTTATCTATGGATGCCATAATGTATGTTTACAATAATAGATAAAAGAAGAGTAGTGTTTACAATGACGCCATGTTTGATTTACGTCTCTGTCATATTCGATCAAAACGCAAATAAGCGCGACCGGCGACAGGGGCTCTAACAAAAATCGCGAAACAGACATTTGTTCGGAGCATTTCGGAGATTACCGGCCATGGTCTAGGACTATATTGGGTACATGGAATACATGTACACATAGCTAAAAGAAGAGTATGTACATATCGGGATATCGAGCTTAATGATAAATTAGTATTGCATGATGTGTCAGTCTTTCCCCTTGCTTTCGAATTTATTTTCAGCGACGAATCCGATGAATCAAATAAGGCTAAGAGGCAAAGTATGTGAACTTTGCATTGCGCTAAACAGAAACACTTGAAAATTGTTTATCTGTATTATATCTACTTCAATATTTTTGCATTAGATTTTGACATTGCACTTTGTATTGGGAATTGTTAATGTTGTGTAGTTGTTTCTTGAATTAAAAAAGGTGATTAAAATATAACTGTGTTCTGACATTTGAAATAAAATTATGATAGTTAAAAATAAAATGTTTGGAAATAATATTACTTATTTTTATGGCTTCGAATATGCAACATATTTTCTCATATCTCATAACATTGTTGAATTATTTGTGTCACTTGACAGTTTCCTTCACAAGTTAATTGGACATTGCATTATGTTCTTGATTTAATCAATTTACTTTTCATTGTAGATCAAAAATGAGTGACAATGAAAGATCTGGAGAACGAGTTTATGGAGGGTGTGAGGGTCCTGATGCTATGTATGTAAAATTAATAAGTTCTGATGGGCATGAATTCATTGTTAAGCGTGAACACGCTTTAACATCAGGAACGATCAAAGCTATGTTATCAGGCCCTGGACAATTTGCTGAAAATGAAGCAAATGAAGTCAATTTCCGTGAGATACCGTATGTAGTTGAATTTCTAATTTTAGCTTCATACGCATTAATAAAATAAACCTTATTACATGCCAGTATTTGTTATTTACTTCAAATCTCTAATTCAAGTAACTTATGTTTAATATCGTATTTTATTTAATAACATTATCAATATTTTTGTGTAGCTTATATGAATGGGAAATTTGAGAACACTGAATATAATGGTATAGTGGTTAATTTAGTCAATAATTAATTGATTTAAGAATTGTTAGCAATAACTCAAGATGTTTATGACCAATGACATAATTTTTATTTATGTTCAAATCTGAAACATTGCCACTCACCTTGCTTTATTTTTCAGATCCCATGTTTTACAGAAAGTGTGTATGTATTTTACATATAAAGTGAGATACACAAACAGTTCAACAGAAATTCCAGAATTTCCCATTGCTCCAGAAATAGCTCTAGAACTTTTGATGGCAGCAAACTTTTTAGATTGTTAAATTAATTAAATATATTTGCATGATATATTTTTTTCAGGTCTGCCTATTTGATAAGATATTTGCTATGTATATATGAGTAACTTGTTCTTTTAATAAACTTAGTTAATAATATCTACTGATCAGTTTGATATCTTATTTCTGCATGGTATCATAATCAACATTCATATAATGTATTTATTAAAAATCAAAACCATATTGAAGTTATCAAAAAAATCATATATGGGCTATACTTCCTTTAATACTTACTGATACATAAAGAGTTCACTTTAATCTCAGTATATATATATATATATATATTCAATATCCTAAACTCTAAGAATTATCACAATTAAATGAAATATATTCAACCAAGCTATTAAGTTAGATTACAAGTTCAAAAAACAGGTTCAAGAAACAAGATTTAATGGAATTATCTTGATTTGATAAATTCGCTTTCACCGATTTCAATAACTTCTTCACATTTTTAAGTAATGCATATCCTTTAATACTATTGGAAAATACATGATAGAAAAAAAACATTAGCAAGATAATGAAATGTTATACCATTTGAAGTATATTTAAATAACTTACAGAACTTTAAAATTAAATTTACAATAAATATCAATACTTTATTTTTTATATAAATATTGGAAAACATCACACATTATGTATCCTACACAAACAAGTTTTATTTCATCAAGTGTAATTGTAATACAATACACTCACTTTTCTTGTAATTTACCCATAAAGTGAGGTAGCTTTAAATTTATTTTTTGCGTTTGAGAATAGACAGGCTGGTGTTGCTGGATAAAAGCGCAAGAAGCAGGTTTCGGCAAAATAATTCCTTGCATAACTGTTTCTTGTTTATTTGAAGTACCAGTTGTATTTGATATGGAATTGATGTGAGAATTCTTTGTGCTTTCGGCTGTCTCTACAATTTTTAATTCACTACCTCCGTCTTTAGAATCTGATTTACACAAGTCATTGTTTTCAGATTGATTGTCAATTTGGGTAATATAACTACTCTCTCCTCTCTGACTAGTATTCATTAATGTAGAATTATCTCTATTTTGTATTGTTGTTATAGTGGCTACTGGAATGCTACTAGATTTAATTTTATCATCATCCATTTTCATTATTTGAGCATTGTCATAGTTGCCCTCAGTTGTATGTAAAGTTTTTGCAAGATGTTGATTTTCTGGAGATTTCACTTGAAAGTTTGATTGTGAAAAGTTTGCAACATTTTCCATTTTGATTTGTTCTGAGTTTGATTTCATTGCCTGAGCTAAAATTCGAGCTTGAATTTGTGGAAATCTTACTCGAATTGCATCAACCACATCTAGCAAATTTTTAGCATCTATTGCTAATGCATGAGCTGCAGAAAGCATGCTCCTGTAGTTGATAAAAGAATACATGTGCAAATTTATAGAAAGAGCTTATAAAATATTTTTGGTTTGTCAAACTTACTTTCGGTATTCTGCATCTAATGTAGTTTCACTGTACTGCTGGGCAAGTCTCAAAGCCGCTACTAGTTCACTCATATCTTTAGAAAGCACTTTATGCGCCAATTCCACTTCCCTAATTTAAAGAAAAAAATACAATTCTTTAATTTAAATAAGAGTTAATTTTAATCGACTCTGATAGGTTAACAAAAATTGCATTTGTTATCTTATTCAGTTATATATAAATTTATATATAAATATATATTAATTAAACGTTTCTACACTTAATGTGTCAACATTTAGTAATATAAAAAACATTACATAATAACAACATTTGATAATAAATATAAAAAATATAAAATATATAACAATATATATAAAAAGGCATTTACTATTAATTATGTTGTTATTAATTTTATGTTTTTGTGTTTTTTCTGGTTTGGGTGTATAAAATTTACTCCACTTTTTATATTTTATATTTTTTATATTTATTATCAAATGTTATTATTATGTAATGTTTCTTATATTACTGAATGATGACACACATTAAATGTCGAAATATTTAATTAATAAAGAATTGGTCTTATTAAGCTTCTTTTAATTCAACAATTGCAAAATACTTCAAATATGTATCAACGTCGACAAACAATCATATATATGTATATATATATATATATATATATATATATATATATATATATACATACGACTAAACCTTGTAACATTTTTATGAGATATTTTATATTATAATCTCTATGATAAACATAAATGTTCTTATGTGAAATAGGAGTTGACTAGATGCTTGTGTACGCACTTACAACGTCAATTATTAAAATTACAATATGTAAAAAAAAATTAAATTGATAAATCGTACTGCTAAAGCTGCGGGAATAAGTATTTTATTAGGTTTAAAATAATTTTGAAGCTTCAGCTTAAAGAACAACGGTTCTAGAAAACTATTATTTTATTGAATAATGTTTGTAGTATAACTTGTTATTCATATGCCATAATAATTTGTTTTAAAAAAAAAACATTCAAATCAGATCAAAGCATAATTAGTTTATGTTGTTAAATTACCTGTGAGCATGAACAGGGAATAGATTGACTAGAGAATCAACAGCACATAGTAGTCCTCGCAATTCTAAACCTACTGTACGAACTAGATCCAGGTATTGATCTACTTTTGCACTTTGCACACCAGTGCTCAGAGCCATAATCGCCCGAACCACATTTGTGGTACATGTGTAAACTGAATCATTTGTTCTATCTAATTCTACCTTTGAGCCACTCTCTGAATTTTGAGAGTGAATCTGAAATAAAGAAATTAACTTATCTTAGGCATGCAACTGTAATTCAATTATCTTATTTCAAAATAAATTATATACCTTTATTTATTTGGATCACTCTTTTTAGAAACAATTTGCGTAACTTACTTACTTATTGTAATTTTATATATAATTAGAAATATCAAAATGAGTTGTGTTACTAATTAAAATTAAGGCATAAATTTAAATATATATATATATATATATATATATATATATATATATATATGAATTAAAAATACTCACTTTCGAAACTTGTGTTTCTTCAGAGCCTAAATTATCACATCTCTCTTGAGAAATACTTTTGTTCCTAAACAAAACCGAACTTCCCATGGGGGTATGAGGTCTTGAATCACCATTTGGAGGACTAGAAAATCCATGATTAATATTGGCAGGCAATGAACTAGGTTGCTGAGAAGTACTCTGACTTAAGCAATTTTGATAAGGGCTATGTTGGAAATTCATTTGCTGATATTGTTGATTATTATACATTGAATTAATCCCTGAAGGTTGCTGAATGAATTGAGATGGTATAATTGCCTGGTTTGCATAATTCGCCATAGACGCATCAAAAGACGAATAGTCTACTGGATCAGATCCAGTAGTTATAATACTTAGACGCTTTTTCTGAATATAAAAAGAAATAATGTTTAGTAAAGAATCTTATGTGCAGAATTTATAATTCACATAGATCATAAAAAACATAGATAATTCATACAAAGTTTTAAAGATATTTTACTACAAAAATTATTATTGTTCCACAAAAAAATTGATTCCATTCAATCCATTCTCTAAACCGATAAAATTCAAACCCAAATATACCTCTTTTTTTTAATTGTTGAACTCATTTAGATTATTTTGAGATAATGTGTGTGCAAATTATTCTGCATTTTTGAAAATATGACAAAAATATTGTTCAACTGTTCAATTACAAACAACGTTTCGTTTTCGATAAATTTGATATATTAATTTTGTAATTTGAAAAAATATAATAATTGAAACTGAAACAAATATTAAATTTCCTTAAAAAATCGATCTTTGAATGGTTTCATTTTGTTACCAAAAAAAATTACCAAATTTGTCTCCTCCTCCACAAGCCATTTTTGATCTTCTTCACTTTCACGTTGCTGTTGTCGCAGTTTTTCTTCTATAACAACTTTATCAGTTCCAACATCAGTACTCTACAAAGGAAAATATCTTATATTATTATGAGCAGTATTATTTATTAAGATATATTCCGAAATACATGCATATATACACACAACAATTGGCATAAACTAAATTTTATTTTTTTTTAAAATCACTACTAATGAATCATTCTATATATTCATAAAATAATGTTACGTAACAAACAAAAACAATATATTAACTTCACGCTGACAACGTATGCAATTATACGAAATAGCTACGCAATAAGATGAAGAACTATTTTGTTTGATATTGAACGCTTCTATGTAAATATATATCGAACTTATAATTTTAAATTTCTGAACTAAAAACCTTTTGTGAATATATATATATATATATATATATATATATATATATTGAATGGTAGAGTCTTGGATTTGTGTATATTTTGTAGAGTTTCGAACAAGAATCCAAAAATAATACAAAATAAAAAACAAGAAAAGTTTTAAAAAAAAAACAATTTCTTTATTTAATTATTTGTTTATTGTCGACGTTTCGGAACTAGGTACGTTCCATCTTCAGGACATCTGTCAAGAAACATGATCTTGATGAGATTTTAGCAAACAATATGTTTAGGAAAAGAAAATAGATTTTTTTTAAATAATGAATTAATTGCAAAAAAAATATAATAATGTACAGAAATATGATAATATGTTCAAAATGAAAATGATAAAAATGATAAAAATAAATGAGTGGATTATCAGAACAGGATATTAAACATAATAGAAAATTTTTTGAAAGTTATGGAAATTTTTTAAGAAAAGGTTAATGACAAAGTTGAATTAATTACCTGTATGTTTGAATATTTGTTAGCACTTTTTCACTAAACAAGCTTTTTTAACAAAAATGAATTTGTGAGTTAATTTTCCGCCGAATAATTAGATTTTGTAAATCAAAATTACTAAAAGATTTGTCTTTTTTAAAATTATTATTTGAACATTAACAACAACATTAGATCAGATCACAACCTATTACATGATTCATATTTAAATTTTTTACACTTTTTGACAAACAATTAATATCGACTTCCTTTTAAGATCAACAATTTAAGTATTCACACCCTAACATATAAAAACACACACATACAATCTCACATCTCTCGTTCAAGTGTTTACACGTGTTACAAAGGACACACCAGTTTCAATTAGTTAATTTTCGAAAGCCAATCGAACAACATCCAGAGAACAATATTATTTGTGTTTTCAAATAATAATTTTAAAAAAGACAAATCTTTTAGTAATTTTGATTTACAAAATCTAATTATTCGGCGGAAAATTAACTCACAAATTCATTTTTGTTAAAAAAGCTTGTTTAGTGAAAAAGTGCTAACAAATATTCAAACATACAGGTAATTAATTCAACTTTGTCATTAACCTTTTCTTAAAAAAATTCCATAACTTTCAAAAAATTTTCTATTATGTTTAATATCCTGTTCTGATAATCCACTCATTTATTTTTATCATTTTTATCATTTTCATTTTGAACATATTATCATATTTCTGTACATTATTATATTTTTTTTGCAATTAATTCATTATTTAAAAAAAATCTATTTTCTTTTCCTAAACATATTGTTTGCTAAAATCTCATCAAGATCATGTTTCTTGACAGATGTCCTGAAGATGGAACGTACCTAGTTCCGAAACGTCGACAATAAACAAATAATTAAATAAAGAAATTGTTTTTTTTTAAAAACTTTTCTTGTTTTTTATTTTGTATTATTTTTGGATTCTTGTTCGAAACTCTACAAAATATATATATATATATATATATATATATATATATATATATATACAGTGGCATCAGAACCGTGTGAGCTGGGTGGGTTTGAGATGAATTTCAAGATATGATTATGTGAAAAAAATGAGGCCACGCTGGCTGCCTAAAAAAAAAGAACGAGCCCACCCATCAAAAATTTGCTTCCGACGCCACTATATATATATATATATATATATATATATATATATATATATATATATGTGCGTGTGTATATATATATATAAAAGTGTAGATAAATATATAAACAGGTGTAAATACATACATACATATATAATAAATTATAATAGTAAATTCTGTAAAAATAAATACTATTATACCATAGAACTATGAAGATAAAATAAATGGTAAAAAAATCCTGTTGCAAAAATAAGAGAATGCAAAATAAATCAGGTTCAAAAAAATAACATCAAAATACATGCCAAAGATGATGATGAAGCAAAATAAATAAAATAACATATATAATCAAGAAAGAAACAAAAAGATCATAACGATATTGCTGTTGCACTATAATCATTGTATCAAACCTGTTCAGCGCTATTATACTGCGTGGTATGGAATGGTGCATTCATTGTATTTGTACTGAGACTATTATTTGTCATTTTATTATTAATGTTAGCGCAAGATTTAACGTTGGCACCTCCAAAATCATATATGTCTTCTTGCACATGACCAGTATGATGATGCTCTTTTATTTGTTGCGAATAAACTGTCGAATTTCCGTACATTTTAGCCATTCCTATTCCCATTTTTGGCTGTGACATAACTTTTGGTGAACCTGAATATATACTTTGCATTTCTCTTATTTTAGGGCTGATTCTAGGAGAGATGTGTTCCAGGAGTGGTTTGGACAAGGAATCATTAGAAAATACCCTGCTAAAACTAGGACTGTTTAAGGAAAATTGACGTTTTACTTTCTCACTTGATATACTCGGATAATGTAAAAGATTGTGTGAGTATTCATCAACACTGTTGTGCAGTTTTGTGCTGCGTTCTAGTGAATTGATTCTCATAGGATATCGTTCATTAGAAACAGGAGTATTTGTGGAAAAACCTTGAAGATGAGTATTGCGCTCAAGAGATCTGACTTTATTCATGTGGGATTCTGGATATTTAATAGATAAATCTTTAATTGGCAACTCCTCATTAGAAACATTTTGTTTCATAAGTTTCAGCTCATTTTTAGAGACATAATTACCGGAATTAAAATTTGAGATCATTTTCGACACAACACTTTCAGTTATGGGAAGGGGAGGCAACTCAATTTGAGCAGGTTCTTCTAAAGGAATCTTGGCTGGTGGATCTAAGTCTAACAAGCTGTGGGCGGGAATAGGTAAAATTTTAACGGACGGTTCATCGTTATTGATAGTCTGTGTGGACGCAGATGTTGGAACGGAACCCGGAGTGGTTTCGGTAGGTTCAATGAAATCCACGGCTAATGTATTAAATACCGATGCAGGTGTGGTGTACGCGGACGGGTTAACTGAGCGAGATTCATTCTCGCGCATCAATTGAGCCAAGACGGCCGGACTCTGCGCTACGATGTAGGTTTGCGGTGCGCCGCCATTCGAAGTCAGGGACAAAGAGGAGCTCGAATCCGAATCTGAAAGTCAAACAAATTGAATATTAATTTATTTCACACAAAACACCACTAGATTTGACAGATAAAGTAACTTTTTTTTGCCGAAAAAATTGCCAAAATGTGTGATAAGAATAAAAACTACAATATTCACATGTATTGTAATAAAATCGCATTCAAAAAATGCATAAAAGACATCCAAACTAGTGAGGTGCATGGCATCGCGTCTTAAGGAAAATTGCAGGAACTTTCCGTACCGTAATTAAAAATCTTGTTACGGAACCCCAAAAAATTTACACGAAATGTGTACACATTATTAAAATCTCTATAAAATATCTGATAATTTGATGTACATATGTCCAATAAACATTTTTGACCGCCAAATGACATTTTTTAACATATTTTTTATTGAGAGTCCATAACCGCTGGACCTGCCTTCCCGAAAATTTAATCAGTTGTTCATCTTGTCAATACGAGTAAAATGTTTCTTGAATTATTAAAATCGAACGCTCCGTTCTCTTAAAAACTGAGTTACCGTTTTTCGCACTTTTTGCCCCGTATCTTCGGAACGGCTAGACCTGCCTTCGCCAAAAACTAATCAGCAAGTCTCCGTATCAATACGAATCGAATGTTTTTTGAATTATTCAAATCGGTTGATCGGTGTTCCCGAAATCGTCGACGAAAATTTGTATCCGCACACACATACACACATACAGCATTTTTTTCTAAGATATGCCAAAATGTTCAAAAACCTTTGAAACGTAAAGATATATAAACATTTTCATTTTCGAGTTTTTTACTTACTTACCCTACGAGAAGTTAAAAATAATTCGAAAAATATGGTTAGATTATAGATTTCATATTTTCGTTAATTTTTACGTTTTATTTTTTAGTTAAGCCTTATATTATATTGTTCAAAACTAATAGATTTTAAAAAAATACGCATTACGTCAATTTAACGAGATATATATAAAATGGCCATAAACCTAGTGTTAAATGAATATGAATCTTATTTCTAAATGTAATTTGAAATTTAAATAATGATAAATATTGAAATCACAGTATTACTAAAAGTATTTAATCTAAATAATCCCATTCTGTGGAATAATCATAATCAATAATTATAACCAATCAATATATTTATTCAAAGATTAATATTATTATGCAAAGATATATAGTTATAATGTTTAATTATTATGCTTATTTTATTATGTTCTTAGTTCATCGAAAGCAAACCCTGTAACAATTTTACCTATTTCAAATAGCAAATAGGCTATTTGCTATTTAATTTTAATGCTTGATGCAAAAAAAATAGAGTAAGAAATAAGTGAAATAGAAACGAATTTTTATACTTATGAGATTGGGTCTGGCTGGTTTCGGTGGAGCCACATCTTGTTCTCCAGATGCACCACTCCAAGACATAGCAGCCACACGACGATTTTCGCGACGCATTGTTTCGTTCGCGCTATGTTTTTCTTCCATCAAAATCTCACTACAGAATTTATAGTAATATATGAGTAATACATCAATTTAATGAAATATCATAGATATTTGTCCAAAATAGTTACAAAGATTTTATATTTCAGTTATGATGCAAACGGAATATTTGAAATAAAAGTTTTACTAGAAATACGAAATTTTTAATTATGACTTATTTTGAAATAATTCTATTTATTTTAATTAAAAAGAAAGCTTAAATTACTAACTTCAAGACTTCTTTAATATGTTTAAATGTAGGTCGTTTAGAAGGCTCATAGCTCCAGCATTGACTCATAAGGCTATAAAGTCTAGGGGGGCACAATTGTGGCAGTGCTAAACGTTCTCCATTATCTAGCTTTCCTATAACATCATTATTGCGAACTCCTTGAAATGGTTTCACTCCAAGCATTAAAATCTCCCACATACATACACCTACAAAACAAATGTTTAAAACATCAATACAATACCCATTATAAAAAAATAACTATAATATATAGAATAAGCAAAAATTACCAAACATCCAAACATCACTGGCAGTAGTAAATCTCCTAAAATTTATTGATTCTGGCGCCATCCACTTGATAGGCAATTTTCCTCTTGAAGCTTCATAATAACTTAGAACTTCACGTGATAATCCAAAATCTGCTAACTATAAATAAAATAGTATTTAAAACTTATACCAATCAAACTATTTATTGTAAAAGGACATGACATAATATTTATACAAATTATTTTAATCAGTTTTTAATATCTATAATTCTAGATACAAATAATAAGTATTATATTTGACCATTTACCTTAACACAAGTATGAGCGCTAACTAGAACATTTCGTGCAGCAATATCTCTGTGAACGAATTTTTTACTTTCCAAATAACTTAATGCTGTTGATAACTGATATGTGTATAAAAGAAGAGTGCCTAATTCCATTCTGTAAAATAATTATAAAAGTATTAATATTATTATTTAAAATATATATAGATGAAATGATTAGTTACTTACTTATGCTTATTCTGTTGCAAATATGCCCTTAGTTCACCAAATTTAGCTAACTCCATAACGATCCAAATTGGAGGTTCGTCACACACTCCGATTAATTTTATGATATGCGGATGCTCGAACTTCTGCATTATATCTAACAAAAAATCAGTTGAATTATAAAATAACTATTCGAATCGGGTCTTTCGATTATTAAAAAACATACACGCTTCTTCTAGGAACTTTTCAGCTTTCTCTGGATCGTTATCAGTTTTGCAAGTCTTCACAGCTACTTCTTGAGGGCATAAAGGCAATCCTGCAATCATTTTTGGTGTACACACACCTTTATGAACATCGCCGAATTGACCCTCGCCAATTATTTCTAATAATGTTATTTGTGATCTTTCTAGTTTATAATCTTGTGCTAAAAATAAATTGTTCAAATGATTTACCTAAATATTACTTATATAATAACAATAGTAATGTTAATAATCGTCAATCTATAGTCTGATCGTAATAGGGAACAGTCCATGTACTATAAGTTAAATATGATTATAGAAACAAGAAATATAATTATAGAAACAAGACTAATAAAAGTAATTAGCAGACTAAATTTCTTGTTAATGTTTATTATCATTTATATAATATTAACGATACTCGTTTGTGAAATAGATAAATATATCAAATTATATACTTTGAAAAAAGTATATACACGTTTATACATTCACCTGATAATGGATTAGTTAATTTTGATTTTTTTTCATGAATCATTTGCAAACCTCTTTTACCAATTTTGTCTCAAATTTTGACGAAAATCAATAATAATTAACATTGATTCAGTTTTAGTTATAATCGGTCAAGCCTTAATATAATAAATAAAAATATTTTCATAATTGTTTCGTAGCAAGTCCTGAACCAATATCACTCATTCAAAAACCTTTCAAAACATATAGGCTTAGTATCGGTCAAGTCTACAACTCAAAAGTTAATAAAACTAAACTATGATCCGAGGCCGCCTTGATTTTGTTTAGAGGTAAAGACATTCCAAAGAAAAACGCACTGAGAAACGGATAATAAATTTCAGTATTAAATTTTCAGGTAAGTAATCCTAGTTTTTTATATAATTATATTTATGCTTAAAAAAAATTAATAAAACGAAAAAAATACTTGATGGTGTAGAATAATCCCCTTCTTCATCTGGCACATCAGCATAATCTTCTGCTAACATGGGTTTGATATTATTTGTACCAGAATGAGCTGCTGCTGTGTCAGACTGTTGCTGTTCCGCAATTTGCTGTACTTCCTCTGAAATGTAAAGTAATAATAAACATTTAGACTAATAATAATAATCGCAATTATATTTAAAAAAACATTTACCGGATTTTGTCCAAAGTGATATTTGATTTCCATTAACAAGTTGACAATAACCATCTATTAAATCCGCAATACTCTCTGCCGTCTGGTAAAAAAAGAAAAGAAAATATTGAGAAATATTAAACTATAATTACAAAATAAAAACGAATGAAATAAATTATCAGAAAAGATGCAAGCCATGACATTAATTATTTCGAAAATATTGATAAAATATAGCATCAATAATACAATAAGATATTTTTTTATATTTACCTCAAGTGTGTGACAAGATATTGTTAAAGGTTCTTCAGTGCCTTTCACTGTCAGTCTAATAGCAGCTTTTCCTTTGCTATCAGATTTAGTGCAATCCGGACCTATGGTTCGAATACTTTTCACCAGGGCAAAATCGGCTATTTTATTTGGTAATGCTCCACGATGTGTTATATATGAAATTTCTTAAATAAAAAATAATAAAAAACTCAATAAATTAAATATATTGATGATTTAATAATAATATAACTCACCAATATTAGGACCTATCACTAATTCTACTGGTATAGTCCAACCAGATCCTAATGCTACAATAAAATGTTCTTGATCAAATTCAAAATTTCCTCTTAAAATATCAAAGTACCTAAAATAAAAAAAAATGTTGTTGATCATATAATTATTAGTACAGAAAAATAAAAATTTCACTACGCAACTTACTTGAGCATTGCTTCTGTTTCAGTCAAGGAAGCTACTTTTTTGTAATGCGACTGAATCATTTTGCGTAGGGTTTTTGGTTTGAAACTTTCTAATACACCTTTTGGAAAAAACTTGTGCAAACCAACCTCTCTTTCCAAATAATCTAAACTCGATTTTTTATCCAACGTAATCTAAGTAAGATAATTTGGGATTAAAAAGAAAAAAAAAACAAAATTTATTATGTTGTTTTACCTGTGGATTATTATAAACATGTCGAATTTCCAAACAACATAACTGTACGGCAACTTCCTGATCCAAATTTGGGTGAGTGTTTTGCAAGTAATCATTTCTAACCTGCAAATACACAATTATAAATTTACTTATTATTAACTAAAATTTATAACTTTCGGTTATTATTAACTTAAACTTTCAAAACACATTGAAAAAAGAACATATTTGACTTAACTTTAGCATGGGGGTGTCCATTAATTACGTGAGCCCTGAAGGGAAAGGGAGGGGGGGTCACAAAAAATCGCAAAATATCACGCGAGGGAGGAGAGGGTCTACAAGATATCACGTGTGTTTATTTTTTACCTCAATTAGAAAAAAGATCAAATTAGAAAAAAATATACGATTTTTTCTAGATACTAAAAATACGTAATGTTTGATAAGGGATGGGGGGTAATTAAAACATCACCAGGTATCACCAAGGGGAGAAGGAAAAAATTTTCTTAAAAATCACTCAGGTGATTAATGGACGTACCCCAAAGACTGCATAGCACATAACTTATTCGTTCACACTATTAATAAATGAATGATACAATTACCTGATCGTAATAGTAGTGAAATGTCGCAGTATCTCGTTCAAGCATGGTTTTTAGACTAGCGGGTAGATATCGAATTCTTAATTCACATCTCCATGAACCTGGACCGGAACAACGCTCTAATACTTTAGTCATGGAATCATCATGAGACAGCCATACGACCTGAAAAACAATTATATTATTACATTATATTACATTAATTAATGTTATACATTAGAGCTTCTTTATTTATGCATTTTGAAAAATATTTGAAATTTACCTCTCCGTCTGCTAAATTTCGAAGCCTGAGCGCGTAACATCCAGCAAACGCTCTGGTTCCTGGACGCATACCAGTCACTATCCTGGATATGATATCACGAGCATCGGTCATTTCATCAAAGCACACCATATTAAATTTGTCGTTTGGACAGTGTACTTTAATCGTAGTTCTTTTATCACTTCTCGCCCCTAAATTCGAAAGATAACATTGTTAGGAAATTATATAAAAAATATGAGACATTGATGACTGTTGTATAATTAAATAATACTTAAGTAATATTTAAACATTTTTCTTAGGTGAGTTTTTTCATGAAAACAATGTAAAGTAAATTGAGCGGTTACTGTCGTTAATAATTATTGAAAAAATCAATCCATGGGTCGAACTTATATTATATGTTTGATATACAGTGGTACCCCGACTTACGAGTTTACCTGACATACGAGTGTTTCCAGATGCGAGCCGCCAAAAGAGCGATTCGTTGCTTCGATATGCGAACAAAATTCGAAATATGAGCATTGGGCGATTAATAGTTTTCTAGAAGAATGTTAATGGCAAAAGAAAAATATGAAAAAATTTGTCCTATCTTAAAAATATTTGAAATATTTGCTGTTTTATGATATGAAATTATTTTATAGTTAATTATTTCAATTATAAATTAATATTAATTGTGTAATAACGATTTAACCACGCGAATGTATAGAGGATTATTTTAACATTTGAAATTTTGACTATGCATAAAAGTGATAGTACAGATATATATGTTAAGCTCACGTTTTTTGCTTTTTGTACATTTACAAAATATTACAAATACAAATTGGATGTAATACAAATTACAAATGTAATTTATATGGGAAGAATTGCTTCAAGATACGAGAGTTTCGACATACGAGCGTGGTTATGGAACGAATTATACAAGTATATTGAGGTATTCGTATATATATACATACATATATGTTAAAGGTGTTCAAATTTGATGTTGACATGTATGATTAATGTCTTGGAGGGCGTAACATCAAGTAAAAAATGAATAAAGTAAAGATTTTTAAAACATCTTTATTTTTCCATACGTTTCGGCGTAAAATTCTACGTCATCATCTGTGGTTTTACAATTTTGGAAAAACAGAAAAAGTAACGTTAAAAACTAAATATAAACAGAGCAAGAAAAAAAAGAACAAGATTTAACTAAAAAGACAGACTAATTATATCTAAATCTTAAATTAAAAAATTACAGAAAGCATTACATACTTGAAATTCTTAGATTATCATTTATACATATTAACAACACAACTTGTGAATAATTAATAATTGGAAACAAGCACTAAATGTCAGTGATTACGTTTTTTATAAAAAAATAATAAATAATAAAATATTATCTGAAGTAAACGCTCATCCAAGGCAAGATTGATTTCTGCAAAAATTGTAAAATGCAAAACAGAAATTTTTGAAAAACATGTGTTTGTAATAAAAAACCGTTCAGCGATATATGCAAGTGTGTGATAGTGTTGAGTAGGGTTTGTTGGTTTTCAAAAACCGGTTTTAAAAACCGGTTTTTTGACGAAAATTATGAAATTCGAAAACCGGTTTTTTAGTAGAAAAAGTCGGTTTTTACTGTATAAGTGGAAAATGACAAATATAGCCAAATATAAAAGAGAGATGCAAGCGTTTTGATTCTTGGAATCATATTGGTTCAATAGCATTTGGAATCTTATCAGTCTGCTATGGTTCCAAGAAAGGTTTTGTGTTATCTTTTGTCTAATGTTATATATTAATTTAGATTTTTATACCAGTGTATAAGAATTTAAATCAGTGTGACTTCTTCTTGAAGAAGTAGCTCCCTCTACTCAATCTTTAAAAAAATGAGTTTTTATCCCTAGAAGCCACAAATAAAAGAATAAAAAATTTAGAATTAGTATATCAGGCTTTAAAAACAATTAAGTTCGGTCGCAAGTAAGAGAGTATTTTCTATTTTGAGAAATATTATGAGTAAACAAAGGACACGTCTAAGTAACGAATTGATAGACATTCTCAATTTTTTGAAATCATGTTTTATTAAACAAAAACACAATTAAAATTTTTAAAATTAATTAATTAAAATTGCTAGGAATAGAAAATACTCGGGGTTTAGCTTAATTGTTTTCACAACTAAAATTGATAGTTACAAGTATGTATCAACATGTAAATGAATGTTTTTGTTTAATGTTTAATGCCTAATTTAATGAATGTTTTTGATTTAAAAATGTATTATTTTTATTTATTCGAATACTGTTCTTTGACTGAGATAAAAATATTTTCATTCTAATATGTGAAAATGATGCATGAATAACGAATAATTATTTTCAAAAGTATTTAATTCAGATAAACTATTAATTTTTTGCTCTACTAGTTAAACTTGAAATAATTTTGTCTACTATCCATAAAATTAAATCGCACTAAATTTGCGGATAAAAGATTTTCTATATAAAATTCGAAAACCTGGTAAAACTAAAATTCGAAACCGGTTTTCTGAAATGTCGGTTTTTGTATAAACCCTAGTGTTGAGCATAGGTGTTAGGTATTCGATACAAATTGGGAAACATTATTTAAAACATATTGGTAATTTTCGCAGAGGAAGCTGTATCAGTTCGTTTATTAATACTATGTTTGTCCAAAAAATAAAAGCCGATTTCGCAAAGCGTCTTTGTGAGACTTTCGACTCATGATGAAAAACCTTTGCATCATACAAATTTAACTTATGGTTGTTTAGTTTTAAATGTTTTGTGATCATCGTTTGTCCTTGATTTTGGCCACAAAAAGTGAGCCTATTGTTTGTGACGGATTTTATAAGATGTGGGAAATAGGAGTTGTGCGTGAGGGATATACACACACACACACGCACATATATATATATATATATATATATATATATATATATTTATTTATTTATATATGCGTGTGTGTGTGTTTGTGTATGTAATTAATAATATCGTAGCACAAGAATCAGCACTTACCGTTGCGAGCGGGCGAGCCGTGGGGCGTCGATTTGGCTGAATCGGATGCCATGGTTTTATTACAGCGCGATTTTTCTGCAGAAATGGCTTCCGCATGAACTATCGTTTTGCTGATAGTTCGTTTGTCGTGGGCGCGATCTTTTGCGGGTGAGATCAGACCTGCCCTTCCGAAACAGGCGGACCCCTTGCCATCATTGACATAACTGAAATTAAAAATAATCGAACTACATTAATTTATCATAATTAGAAAAATCTAACATAACTATAAGTTGATCAGTATTAACCAAATAAACTCATAATTGATCCAGCAAATGAATAAGTTTATAATTAATTTAAATAATATATTCATGCTGAATAGGGGCAGTTTATGTTTTCAATATTATCAATACATTTTACAAAGTTTTGTATCATTAACTCTTGTTACTGGAGACAAATAAAATAACAACATGTAAATATAAAATAAACTAGTTGATATTGGTATTTTCCTTGAGGCAAGTTACATGAACTTAATCACATATCGGGGTGAATAATCGACTTAATCAATA